TTGGTTTATCTTTACTTCTGTGGTAACTCTTTGAAAAGCCCTCTGAGGGTTACAAACTGCTGTACTTCCCTTGGTCCCAAACAAGTTGTTCCACACATTCCAGAGCTGATCCAGGTTCTGTCCCTGTTCTGACCTGGAACCCAGCACGGCTGTTGGGAAGCTCAGAACTGCTGCCAGAGCAGTAGAAGACATTTAAATGCCTTTCTTTTAAATATGTCCAGGCTATCTGGTCTTCTTCAGTGACTATTTTTTTCTTAATTTTCATCCCTGTTTTTCCTTCTGAAAACAACATTATCAGAAATGCCACGATGAGTTTGCGAAGCAGAGAATGAAGACTGTGCATTCCTACTGACAGCAAAATTTCCATAGATTTCTGTGTGTCCAAGTTTTCCTTCTGACCACTCCACACGTTTGCTACACAGATGGGATTTCCTCCTGTACAGATCCTGCAGCTGGATGGGCAGAAGCAGCTCTGATTTTATCCATGCTGTCCATAACCCTCCCTGCCTGCTGAGCTGCACAAACTGCTGACTACTGAATCCTCAAGGTGAAGGACAGGACAAAAAACATTTTCAGGGATTTGAAAGGATGGAATTAGCAAGGCAGGAGAATGTGAGTCTAAAAGCCAGGATAAACAATACAAAGATTTTTTTTTCCCCTTTCAGGAAGCTGAAAGAAAAATTGTCTGGAAATGTGCAGTGTTGATGGACAGCCTGCTAACAGTAAAAACAGGAGTCTCTGAAAATGCTAGAAAATAAAAATTCATGACCCAAATGAAGACATATGAACTTGACAGGTGCTTCCTGTGGATGTGGAGATGAGGGAAGTAGAAGTGGGTTTCTCAAGTGAAGGGTAATGGCGATGCAGAGAACAGGTAATTTGTTTCTTCTCTCCAAGGCAGCTCAGCATGGGGGGATCCTGCCCTGCTAATCAAGCCGTGCCCCCGCTGCGTGCGGTGGGTGCTGCATCTGCGGAGGGGTTCTTGTGTGAGTGGTGGGTGGGAAAGATGAAAATTCCTTTCTTCAGACTGCAGCAACTTCCCTCGTTTACAGGAGACGCTCAAGGGGATCAGTCCATCTCCCTGCTTTCTAGCAGAACAAACCTAAGGCATGCTGGAATTGTTCATTAGCTGTGAGTCTTGAGGACGCCACTTTGTGTTTGCCTCATCTCTTCACTGACACAGGCTGGTTCCTGAAACATTCCATGGTTTTTGTCCAGTCTTGGTTCAAAAATATGAAGCTACAGGCTCCTTCCACTTCTGATCTAGCAACATTCAAGGTCAGGAAGTTTTCACTGACAAGGAATTTTAGTTTGCCTCAACCATGATACTTCATCCTTAATTGCATTCTCATAAATTAAAGTTTCATAATTCTTGCAGTCTTCCTGCTTATGTCTTCCAAATCTTTTTATTGGGAACTAATGTTCCTCTAACCCCAAGCCATAATTTAACTATGCTAAACTTAGTTGCCTCTGTTGCTCTCCTCTCTAAAATAAGATCTTTTGCTATTTTCTGCAGAACTTTCTGTATCCTGTCTGTTATATGTATTACACAGCACAAAGACTTAAATTTTCACCTGCTTCATGTCTCCCAACTGGAATTCAGATACTACATATCTTCAAACATGTAAAACAAATATGACATTTCTGCCATGCTCAGGGCAAACTACTAAACCAGGTTTATCCTCACTGTCTAGGGCTCCCTGTGCAGGATACCCTCCCTCTTTTTTTGGAAGAGAACCATTCACTTCAGAAAATGAGCTTCAACTTTTTGAAAATTAAGGTTATTAAGAGAATATGTTCCTACAGCCTAGCACAGAAACAGAAAAGTCCCTTTTGTGTATTTGCCCGTTTTTAAACCTGTAAAATGGGACACCACACAAACCCCCTATTGAGTTACGATGCTGTAGAGCAGAAAGGCAAAGCTAGCGAGAACTATCTACTTTTCTTGTCGAAGTTCCAAGACACTGGCAAAATTGTGAGTTCCACAGTACTGTTGTGGCAGATTTTATACCAGCAGCAGCATAAATTGTAAAAACCAGCAGGAATTCAATGAAGCATAGTTCAGAATGGATGTGCCATCCTATCAACGGCAATCAAGTAGCCCAGTGAGACACCATGTTCCAAGATGCATCATTTTACCCTCACAGATCTGACTCCAAAGGCACAGATCTAACTCCAAAGGCAAACAGTCCAAATATGTAAAATCTAAAATTTCACATTATCTTTTTGCCATTTCCAAGAAGCTTATGGCACCTGAAAATTTTAATCCACCATGTTTCACTTGGTTCCTGAATTGCTCTTCATTTCTTTCTCTTACCATTCACAGGGAGCCTCAGCTGATAAAGGATGCACCAGGAACACACAGTTTAGGCTGAAAGGGCTCATGCAACCTGGGACAGATTCACTTCACTGAGAATTAATCCACTTTAATGCAACTGGATCACACACCAAACCAGCAAAAGCCTTGAGGCTTTGACAGCACCAGTTCTGCCGATATTTAAAGGTTAACAAAGTCAGTAGATCCTGTGCTACTTGTATCTACACTGAGAACTCTGGCTGATAATCTGTACAATGAGTTAATGAATATGAAGTAGAGACCACACATAGAGAGCATCCTCTTTTTTTTCCCCCAACAGGATCTAGAGCCCCAAAAATCTTGTATCAGAATGCAAGTGCCATAAGATAACCGCACTTCAATAATTCAATAATAGACAGAATATCAAACTAAGACAAAAATGTAAGAAGATGCAAAACATTCCATTTTGATACAACTTTCTCACTGCTTGAGAAAGCAAAGTCTCCCTAAATTTCTGAATGCTTCATGCAGGCACAGCAGATAAATGATCTGGGGTGGGAGATGACAATCTCTGAGACCCAAGAGGATGGGAGAAAGATGCAGACAGCTATAATGAAAGCTGTCAAGTGCATCATCTTGCTGTAGCACTGTTCTTATTAAAGATGTAAGAGCACTTGCAGATGTTAAATACCGAGGAGGAACAGCTTAACATCCAAGTGCAGCCCTCAGAGGGGATCCTACAGAGCAACAAGATTTTTAAGAAGCTGATGAAAACTAGAAGGAAACCAAAAGTAGATAAAAACACGCAACACACACAATTTAAAAGTATATAAAAACATATATAAACCTCTGTGTATAAAAGCCTTCCTCGAAGGCCCTGAAGGAAGAAATGATGCTCACTCACTCCCATGACATTTGTCTCCAACAAAGCAGTGTTGTGACTGACACACTCTGCACTCAAATGCAACAGAAAACAGAGGCCTTGATCAGCTGCAGCCTTTCTGGAAGGATATCAGGACTCCCAGGAAAGAGCAGATGTTAGCTCATCTGTGCCCAGGATGACTCCATCTTGCCCATTTCCCTAGGATTCCCATTTTCCTGGGTAAGAGCATGCTGATTCAGTCTGAGCCCTGCACAGCACAGTACAGGAAACACGCTTGTCCCAGAAGATGCTGTAGTAACAGACTCAAAATAAATGAGGACTTCAGGATCAAAGGAATGATGTAAATTGTTAAAACATATTCTGTCTCAATGTCACCTATACAAAAATTATTACGGATTCTGTAATAATAGAAGCAGTCGCTTCACTGAAATTAATTTATTTTGAGAATATCCCTTTTAATCCTCCATGCATTTTTAGCACAAAAAGTTGAATTTTATCACAACCTCCTTCATAAAACTTAATATTGTATGTCTCGTAATGTGGCTGTTTCAACAATTCCTCATTGGAAATTCCAACCTCTGTGAAACCTTGGCAACACTGTTAGTAAGTGACCTACACAAAGTTTAATAGAAAATTTTTACTGAATATCCTCTGTTTAATGTAAACAAGGCAGGAGGCAAAACAAGGAGTATATATTTTATATAATTACACTATTTTACAGGGCACAGAAAGCATTGAGGACATGGTTTGAAAACCCTGTATGATATGCAATATCAGATAAGGATTTTCCATGTAGCCCCAAGTCTACTCCAGGACCCTTTAATCTTACCAAGTACTTCAGGTTAGTATTTCTTCTAGCAAGACAAAGAGCACTAATAAAATGTCACCGGTGAGATTGCACAGCAAGTTATGGTAGAAATTACCATGCACTTACAAAGCCATTCCATGATTACTTGTGCCCTGTAAAATGAAGTGTGGCAATCTTTACACTAATCATAGTGTAAGCAAGCTCAGGATTCTGGTCCTTTTTTTTATATATATATATGTATATATATACATAGGTGATGTACAACCAGACTCAAGCTGTGCATCAAGTCACAGCTTTTATATTGCACAGACAAATATAGAGTAAGAACATTACACAGACAGAATCTGAATACCAGGAATATTACAGTCATAGGAGAAAACTAAGGACAAACTTGTTCTATAAGAGCTAGCACATGGCTTATTATAAAATTTTCTAAATCAGAGTCTAAATCAAATACATACTATAAATGAAAAAAAACATAAAACAATGCTTCTATTTACACACATGTGCATCAGGATTAGAATGTGGTTTGGATCTGCTTTTTGAAATAAAAAATTATTCTAGTATCCCATCTCAAGTATTTCAATCTAATACCAGTGGCCCCATTCTCTAAGGTGATGAGCACTCATCTCTCCCACTGACATCTGGAGGATCTGCACAAGCCATGAACTCTTCAGGCCAAGTGTTTTCTTGGGTGGCCCTCTCTGGGTAATAAATAACCACATACAAACACACGCACACAGAAACAAAATGGGCTCCTCAATGACATGCATAGATCAAAAAGGTGAAAACATGGACCTGAACTAACTTCTAATCATTAAAAACAAAAGAAAAGTGCATGAAAAATATTACCACAAAAATAATTGAGTTCCATCTCTCTTAAGAAAGATTAAATCACTCTTACAAAAATAAAGGTCATTGTCATCAGGTAGGGGGATTAAGGGTTTGTAGACAGCACTCACAAAAGCAGTTCAGGCCAAAACAACTTTAAAGATTGCTTCACTTGTGTGAGGATGGATCCATGTCTTATAAATTTATTGACTAAATAACATTTGGGTTGCAAGAAAACATCACCAATGTCACTGGAGACACAGGCTGAATTTAAGAGTGATCACAGTTCTATCTACATATTTTCCTCATGGACAAGCTTAAGGAGCTGTGCTTGCAGCTCTGCAGCGTTTTGCATTAGAACACCTTTCAGTGTAATGAGTTTGGGTACCAGTGAAAACAGCAAAACAAAGGAAGTGATGTTTAATGCTTTCATTTGAGATCAGGCAACTCTTGAATGGCTTTATCAATTTTTATATTACTGGAATGCTCTTGCAAGGTTTTTTTAACATTTTGCTCATTTTTGTTTATAGTAGTATTGTCACTTCCAGTTTCCACTGAAATTGGGACATTAGAAGTCTTCTGGAGTACATGCTTGAAAAAAAAATAAATAGATGATTTGAGGAAAAAGTAATTAAGCTCAAGCAAAACCAACAAAGACTCAAATTCAGTAAAGCATCAGCATTTCTGCTCAACACTCTTTGTTCATGTAAAAGATTGTGATTTAAGCAAAAAATACTTGAAATTAAGCTTATGTTTAACTGTTTTGCTGAATTGGGACCTTATAAATAACAAATGCATGTATTAAATATCACTCTGCATAGACATCAACATGTTCTAAACTATTTGTCAGGTATTAAGGAAACTCCCAATGTGGACTGTCTGCAATGCCAATCACTAAAAATGATTTGCTACATTCAAGGTATGTTTCTAAAGAAGAAAAATTGAGTAAGTGTAATTTTTTCAAACTTTGTCCCACTATGCTACTTGAACCTGAAAATACTTTGGAGCTAAATGCAGAAAAAAAACAACAGGTGAAGAAGTAAAACATGCTTCTGTTTGCCAGAGAAATGCAACAATTTTTACAAAAGTGTCCCAGTACAGGGAGCCCCTGCATACAGGTTTTACCTGCACAAAATGTTTCCAGAACTGCTTTCTCCAGCTGAACCTGTACTGGAAGCTTTTACAGCAGGATGCTCTTCACTGGTGACAAGAATAAATTTAGCCCATTAACTGTGACACTGCTCTAATTAACCTGCTATCTTAAAAGGCCTCTTAACATCCAGCTTCCATAAATATTGAAAAACAAGACCTGAAAGGCATGGATAGAGAGCAGAATCTGATTCTAGGTACAGTCATGTTAATCCAGAAGACTTCTAGTGACTGAATAAATTAGTCTATGTTTGCATATGAGCAATGACATCTGAAATGGGCATTAGCTGTGCAAACAGGGGGGCATGAAAGACAAACAAGGAAAGACAATGTAAAGGGAAGGAGCTGAGCTCTGCCTGGCCTTGTTCAGAGGAGGGGAAAGAGGTCCTACCCACCAGTGTGGAGAGCAGGATGGGTCACTGGTGTGACTGCCAGGTCCAGCACAGTCACCAGTGCACAGGGTGCTGGCAGTGAGGACCCTCTGGAGGGCAGAAGCAAAGCCCCCTGCAGTGGCCTCTGCTCACATTGCCAGTGCCTGGCCTGGCTGATGGCATTCACATGGAAAAGAGGTCACTGAAAGGCATTCCTGCATCCCAGCACTGTGAAAAGCAGGTGTAAATTTTGGTCCTAAATAAGTTATCAATGCTTAAACTGAGTTGGCATCACTGTGACAGTTAGATAAGCAATAAAAATGTCTCAAAATAACAGAATGTTTATGCTACCGATTTTCAAGGCACAAAAGATTCTTAAACCAATTCAGACTAATACCAATTTAAAAGAAATTAAAAATACTGTTTCAGCAACAACTATGATGACCTATAATTAACCTACAATGTAAAGGTGACATGAGTAAAAAAATTAGAGTTCCCATGTAAAAAGCTAAAGCAAATCTAGTTACACAAATAACTTGGAGATCAATCACTTGGAATGACACAGACAAACATGCTACAAACATGTACACTTCAGATATATTTGTTATGGATGTGATGCCGAATCAGGATTAATTTCTTTAGTATTGATTTTAGACTGATAGATTTCTTGTAGTAAACCACTGAGGGATCAAGCTCAGAGTTGTACTTAAGATCTACCAAAAGCAAAATGATCCCTCATTAACGTATCTTATTGTATATGGATTGGTGGATTTTTTGAACTGCATTTTTAATAACATACATTGCAGTCATAGGTTTGTTTTTCTTTCATATATCCAACTGAAAAGAAAAATAATTAAGACATAAAAATGTTATAAAATTAATTTGCTTTTTTAAAAGTAATATGGTCACAAAGAGCAAATTGGTGCATGTGAGCCCCAGGACATACAAGAGCTCAAACTCTCTAAACACTGTAATCAGAATAACCAAGGTCTGATGTATGTGGTTCTTCATGCAGCTTTTGCAGCTCTTCACACAGTGGCTAGAAATGATGTGTATTGGTTTCTCCCCAAATGCCTTCGCTCATATTCCAAGTCCATTTGAAAACTCAACATCTGGTGAAGGGAACTCGTCCTCCAAACATCCCCTGTCACTTTGCCGGGAGGCATCACCTTGTCTCTGGGTGTTGTGGTGGCTCTCCGGCCGAGCCCAGCCCGGAGCCGGGGGTGGCCGGGCCGGGCTGCTCAGGGCGTGGCTGAGGTGTGGTACTTCACAAAGGCGATCGCCGCCAGCTCCTTGCAGAACTCTTCCAGCACAATCACGCCCTCTAGTAACGTCATGTGGTCAATGCTGGGACAGGAAGAAAATTGCAGGGAATCAGGACTGGCACACACAAACCCAGCCACGCGTCTGGAGAACGTGCAATGTGTTTACTCACATGGGTCCTTCCGGCTCTAAGCCCAGCAGGCGTTTTCTGACCAGCAGAAGTTTGGGAGTGAAATCTGGGATGCGCTGGATTCTAACCATGAGGTCCCCGACGACCTGCAAAGCCCAGGCATCAACACACAAAGTTAACACCTCTGCAGAGCGCCTGGCAGCAAGGTTCAATGGCAGCTTCAGTGCCCACTTCAGCATCCTCACAGGCTCACAGAACAACCTGCACAGAGGCTGCTCTGCCCAGAAAGAGGATGAGTGAGTGCAGGAAGTAAAGAAATACAAAAGCCTTACTTGCTCTTGTCACAAATGGCATCCCTTATTTTAATTACATCAATAATTAATTTGTCTTTTTAAATGTTGACATAGACAATCAACCAGTGAATTCCTGGGCCTAGTGAAAGCACAAGGGGAGAGAGTGAAGGTTGTATTTTGGAACAGGGAGGGCTGCTGTGAGAAAGGGAGCCAAGCCCTCTTGGGCAAGCATCATTAACAGGCTCCTGACCAGCTCAGTAACAGCTGTTGCGTGGGCTAAGCGAGGGATTCTGACTGAGGACACCGCAGTGTGACAGGCACCCAGCCAGCACTTCTAGGATGCAAGTCTGGCAGGAAGAGATGGAAATGGAGAAGAAGGGCACTATTGATAAATCCAGAACTTAATTGTTAAGAGCAGCCTCCATCTAGGCCCAAACCTGATTCAAAATCAGCTTTCAATGACATTTACCAACTTAAACTACCCAGCAACTATTACTACTAACAACAAAGTTATTAAATATATTACTGCTGTACAGCCATGTGTAATTATTGCTGTGTTCACTCACCCTGACAATCACAGAAAAGAGAGACTTGCAGCCAGAGGCGAGGTTGACGTAAGGATCCAAAAGGTATTCATGTATATGAGGATGGGGAAACAGGGACAATTTGGACAACACTGACGTAACTTGTAAATTTACATCATAGGGCTGCAAAAAGAGGGAAACACAGAGATTAGTTATTTTCTGGCTTCATGCTGGCTTCTCTTCATCCACCTCATGTTTATTTAACTACTAGAACTTTATACACAGAGCTAGGAATAAATAAAGATAAAAAGTTACATTAGAAGACAGGCCCAGCCTCTGCTTTTCACAACAGCACTGCTGTGAATATGACAGTTGGGCATTAGATATTATCTGTACGGCTGCTACAACCACTTGAAGCTTTTGCACACTTGTTTATTATAGGGCAAGTCCTCTTCCCGTAAAACATTTCTTCAGCTAAAGAAATAGCATGGAATCAGCCTAGATTAAACATCTGCTTGCTTCTCCTGGGAAACTGTAAAGTATATAAGCTCAGGAAATTGCCAGAGAGAAATCCATGTTTACAGCTAATACGTTATTTCTCTTCTACTTTATTGTTTTCTGGGAAAGAACCATTGCAGAAGGCCTGGCCATCTTGTGGCAGAAACCTATGGGACCAGTCCTGGGCTGGGAAAGCAGCAGGAGATTCTGAGCTTCTCGTCTACCTCCCTTTTCCCAAATCAACCAAATGGGAGAGGCAACGCTGTCAGATGCTGGAAAACACTTACCAGTTATAAGGAATAAAACAATACCTAATTTTCCAGGAAAAAAAAAAAGTGCCTAGTTTAAAGGATTTGACCATTCTAATAAGAAACTTATTTCCATAAAAGCATTAATTTTCACCGTGGCTTCTTTTTGTTTCAAAACTTTTATTCATCTTTCATTTTGTCATCCCAGTGAAAACAAGCTGACATTTCAATTGAGCCCAGAATTTTCAAACTAGTAGAACCTCCTTCCATTTCTTCAATGGCAGAACAGACTAAATTGACAAGAGAGGGACAGACATTCCTTTGGTACATCTCTGTGTCAAGCAACCTTGTAGATCTAAGTGGATTACAGGGCTCTCATTTAATCTCTGACTGCATATTGGCAGTAATATCCTCATTGGCATCATCACACCGAGAAGAGAAGGATTTAATGACCTGAAATTCCCATCTTTATGCTCTGAAGTTAGCATCCCACTAAAGAATAAGAGAACAGATTCTTGCCCTTTGCAGATCTGGGAGATTTGGATGAATTCACCCTCGGATTAAGACAGATACATTTAGCCACATCTGCATGTCTAAGCTCTCATTAGCTGAGTCAACAGTGATACACCTGCCCACACATAAACATCTCCTGCCACCTCAGATGCTCCCAGAATCTGCTGGTCTCTTGATGGTTCCATACAGGGTGGATCCTGCAAGATCTGTGTTGGAACCACAAACTTCTGGGAATATCCTGGACAACACAAAAATGGCAACAGATACCTGAGTTCAGGCACCTGAGTGGAGCTTTCAGTCCACAGAGCCAAGGAAGCTGAGCTGGTGATTCACTTTGCCCTCAAAGCGATACCTACTTGTCTTTCAGCCTAAGAGACCCAGGGACTACTAGGGCTGCGTTGACAAAATTTCCACTGACTACATGTGTCCACATAAGTAATATTTAGGTATCTTACTCTTGAATTTGTTACCACACACGGTTGCATTGCAAAGTTGCCTCATAAATATTTTGAAATGAAAGCACTTATTTCTTCCAGTCAGTGAGAGTTATTTCTGTACTTGGCACTCCAGCAATAGATTCATCCCAATCTCCTAACAAATGAAGCTTTCAGCCCCTGGACCACAGATGTTACAGGTAAAAGAGATCACTACATTTTGAGTTATTATAGCAGAGCTACTCTGCAGAGAGAGACAAAAATTCCTTCCATAAATCTATTCGCTGCCTACCTAGCTGAACTGTAGGAGAAGGTCTTTAGAGCTGTTTGAGTCAGCCAATTCATTAGGAAGCTTTGAAGGCATGAGCATTATCTGGTGTTCACAAGAGGACAAGGAAACAAAGGACTAACACGTGCTGCATTGTTCTGACAGATTGCTGTTGTGATTCCAACTAATTGAGAGCATTAAAGAAAGCTGCTTCTTCACACAGAGCTTTTATTTCTGTCCATGTGTCAGCAGACTCAGTAAAATGGCCCCGTATCAGATATATCCTAAAAAAATTCCCTGTAGCTAAAAAGATTAAACCCAGCAGATTTTGAAGTTCAGGAAATTAAAAAAAATTCTTAGGGTACAGTCAGTTCTACAGAAATTTCTAATACCAGCAGGAGGAAGAATGTAGTGTCTAGTACCAGTCTAGTCATGAGGCATTTGAAACAAGTTACTTCACTTGTGTGCTTGAGCTGTCTTCTGTCAGAAATGAGGTTAGTGAAAGCTACCACCTCTGCAATGCTTTCTGATATCACAGATTCATATGAGTGCTCCCATGAACACTCACAGAGCTGACCTAGAGGCTACTCCTGGCCTCCTGTGCATGTTCCCTGTGCATTAGTATGTGCAAATGGCTCTGGTCCTGCTTATGAACATTACACAATAATACAACACTATAATAGGGAGTAATGGGAATCCACAGGACCTGATGGGAGATCAGCTCTTTAGAAGTGATGAAAGTTATCAGAAATGTAATTCTTAACTTGTTTTTTCTTACCTGATCAAGAATCCTGCCCATTCTTTCAAAGAGGACTTTCAAGAAGTGTCCTTCAAAAAATGATGCTTCTAAATTGCACTTTTCCAAAGATTTGGGAGATCCAGGCCACTCCCACCGTAAGCAAATGACACAATAATCCCGGAACTATAAAAAAGTAGTGAGGAAAACAGACTTAAATCTCCATAGAAACCATTTGATTTCCTTTAATAGTCCATACACCTTAAAATTATAATCTGTAGCTAAATGATAAATCTATGCTCAAAAAGATCAATCATTCTAAAGTAAACACCATCAGTAAAAGCACTATCAGCGGGCACTTCATTTTCCTGGGGATATTCCTGCTACTAGGATAGTTTGAGAAGCAGTGAGTGGAGAACAGAGCTCCCAAAAAGTAGCTGCGGCCAAAACACAAAGTGACACCAACAATACACAGCCTAATCAGGGTTCTTCTGAGGCAGGAATTGCATTTTTGAACATCTTCTTGAGAGTAAATTACCACACTTCCACTGCATTATTCATAGCTCATCTTGCTATCCAAACCATCCTGCTCCCTAATTCCCAGGACAGGAAATGCATGTCTACATGCAGAACATACAAACTAGAAGTATTTCAGGGCTTCCTCTTCCCTTTCTTTGTTTCCTAACACCCCTGGCAGTCTTTCTCTACCTTGCCTCATAATTGCTATGTGCTGCCTGATGCCTCACTTGCAAGGAATTACACCTTAAATGGAGCACAAGTTGAAGCAGAGAAAATAAGGAACACAGGAAGAAACAGAAGCAAAAGAGTCAGAAAACAGGCTCAAAAATTCTGCATTGATTGTAGCTTACCTACTTGAGCAAGCTTCCAGAAATAGCAATAAGGAAGCAGAACAGCTATTTGGATGTAATAACAGCAACAGGCAGGGCTACTCTTAGGGGGAAAATATTTTAACAGTAGCCATATCATTGTCAGGAAGTGACAGAAACCAATTCTACTCTCTAATAACTCCCAGTACACTTTTTCCCAAGGCATGAAAGAAAGACAAAGATGATAAGTGGTTTCTGGCATCCAAGAATAGAACATAGGGGAATTTTATATCAACCTTATTCTCTATTTTCTATTCCCTTTCTTTTTCAGGAGAGACTACAGATGAAGCACTATAAATACAGAAATCCAAACTTCCCATCTTTAGCAGCTGATAACGTAATTCCAAGGTTATGGAATTTTTGAATTTCATACTAAATATAGCTCTCAGTTACTCCGTTCCTTTGCATAAATTTTTCTATTCTAGAAGATTCACAGGATTTCAATAAGAAAGCTGCAAGCAAAAGTGACTGTCCTCTTACCAAGGAAACTTTATGTTTGTAAAAGCAAAACCTGCATTTATTTCTAAAGAGTAAATCATAAAGCTTTCCCTGCCTACCCAACCTCCCAACTTCAAATCTGAATGCCTTAGGCTGTGCATTCTCTGTGATGAGCCTTTATTTGCAAAGTCCCAGATTGCATAACTCCTATGCAGCATTTTAATTTCTCTTTAGTTCTTTCAAACAGCTTGGCAGTCAATTCTCCAAGAGAATGCAGATAAATGCAGAAGCAAATTAAGAATCTATCTGTGGCTCAGGTTTTCTCTCACTGTATTTGTTATATGAATATTAATGCATTTGATGTCATCCATTATTCCCACTAGTGCAACACAAGGTGAATTCATCACCGAAAGATCTCTAAAGGTAAGTTTTCATTAAAAATGAAAATTGAATTTTCCCATCTTCCATTACCAAAAGATGCATTTAATAGGACTATTTACAAAACCATTTGTATATTCTCACCAGCATTTCAAATTCTCAAGGACTAAGGAAGAGTTCACTGACTTACTTGTCTGTGGGCATCTCTGAGGTAAGTATCATAACCCGTACCCTCCACATGGTATGATGACTTTGCTTCATCAGGTACAAGACAAAGAAAACTGAAGAGAAAAAAAAGTACATTGATGACTATATTCCACAGAGCAGCAGATCAATACTTTCTCATCATCTGTACCAGTGTAAACACAGCGCTGAACTGTCTGGCCAATTAATCCACAGACTCTACCATAACTTTATGTGAAGAACAGAGAATACAAAATCTGTTTAAGCCTATCTATTCCAACTATTGTTTGTAATAATAAGGTACATACTTGAGAACTTTTGTATCTGGCACTAGAGGTAAAGTCATCAGTGGAAGCATTTTCTGAGAATCAGCAGACAGAATGGAGATTAAATAGGTCAAGTATTCGCTAAGGGTCAGACTCCACCTTACTAGAGCTAAAACAAAATATACTTGGGAATAAATGAGCCAAAAGAGAAGAAGAATTACACTTAAAATTCTTCTTAACCTACTTCATAGGTAGTTTTATTTACCAGCTTGCTGTGGCAAAAAAAAAATTAAAAATCTAAGGAGTATTTGCATATAAATGTCCCTGTTACAACTATAATTGCCTTTGCCAGGTGTGTAGTCAAATACTCTGTCCTTATTACTTCACTGATACCTGACCTAAACTGCATAAGGAAATTCTGAATAATCTTAGTAACTTTAAAAAAATAAATTAATCGCATTAAAATTTCTGGACAGCAGAATAAAACCCAGTCTTTGGATCCTGATTCCAAATTTCAGCCTTCACCATACCCCAAGAACTGCTGGACACTCCTGCAGAATTTATAAGCAGAAATATGTAGTAGCTGACTTTTCATGTGGAGTTCATCTTATCTCAAAAATTACAAATTTGCAGAACACTGCAAATCAGGAAACATTTCTATTCCCTGATGAAGGCTACACGAGGTGAATTTAGGAGAGTGTTGTGTCTTTGCTCCAAACCATGACCACCATAAACTATAAATAGCGATACTGGGGGAAAGAGGGCAAGAAGTGATGATGTCACTGTTCTGGCTGTCCCTGGGCTGATTGCTTCCTTTGGCTAACACCTTTGATTATTTCTGGCCAGGCAGATAGGTCAGCAATGACACATCAGTGCTGCTTCGCTACCAAGTACTGACAGAGCAAACAGCCCTCATCCTAATATTAGTTCCTAAGAGAATTACCATCACTAAGTTGCTTAGAGCAGAGCTTGTCCTCTTTGTGATATCCAATTTGCAGTGAGTCTAACAGGCACTGAGGTATGTCACAGGTGACACAAGTGCTCCTGACTTTCAGGGAACAGAAGGTTATCTCTAGCAATTATTATGGCAATTATTTCCTTTTATGTGTGTGTTTTAAGAAACTTTGAAGCTCTAAGTTTGAGGGTTTTTTTTTCCCCTGAAAGGTTTATGGCAAGACTCCCCAGACTTGTCCAGAAAGGTCAAGTCCTACAGCAGCATTTTAAGTACAGCAAATATTTCTGCAAAAAGCAACTTTTATAATTAACAAGGCTTTCATCGTGAATTCTGAGTTTTCAACCATTAGCTGTGAAATTCTTCTATTTTTCTCATTTACGTTGAATTCATACAAGCTCTAATCTTTCAGAAGTAGCTTTCTGATAAAATGCCACATAATTTCCTTCTGTGGAGTCATTTTCCCATCTGGCACAGAATAACATCCATTACAGAGTACACATTTAATTTGCACAGTGTGTGCAGACACCCACACATTCAGACATTTCCTCAAGTCTTTGTTTCAACTCACCTATTTACAATTTTATGAACTTCAGTCTTCCCATCATTTTTTGGATGTTCTGGACTGACAGGTGGAGAAGCACTGAGCCACTCCTGAGCTGACAGTGTGTTATCTGGAGACAGATCAGTAAATAATGGATCTTCCTCCAGATCTCTGTGAAATTACATTAGACAAAAACAATCATCCACAGAATGTTATGGAAGGCAGGAAAATCTCTGGGTCACAAGGCAGGCTGTTTTTCTTCTCTGAACGAGGATGTTTTCCAGAACGTAACAATATCCACATTGTATTACCTAATTAATATACAGAAATACCAAACTTTGCAAATACCCAACAATCTGAACAACAGACGAGTCTTCTTTGACTTGTATAAAATTACTGCATCAAGTCACCTAAAATTTCTTAGCCACATTTTTCACATGAGCAACTTCTATTCCAGGACATATTTAAATTATTCTAGATTACTAAAATGGTTTGTGTGGCCAGGCCTTACCTCTCCTTTGCTAAAATATTGAGTTATGAGAGTTACCTAGCATATATATTTTGTGTAGTGCCTCAGTATTTTATTTATTTATTTTATGTTGTGCCCCGGAAGTTCTTCCATCAAAAACGACTAGGAACATAAATGCAAGCAAGACACTGAAGTTATTGATTGCAAGAATATTCTCACTGATTGCAGTAAAATATGCACAGATTTAAGCTTGGTAGATGCATAAATAAATTGAGACACAAAGACCTCTGAGTGTCTATTGTCCTGCAAAGAGGCTTATGGTAATTTTAAATTTTCTGTTCCTGTTCTGAGTGTTTCCATAAGTTGCTGATGTAGGAATTTCTGCATCACTTTATGGATATGGATTAATACATAGAGCACTCAAGTGCTCTCCAGGCTCACTTTTCTTTCAATTAGTGGAAAAAAACCCCGTTTTGTTCCAAAAATAAGGATCCAAGTTACTTGTTGTGAAAACTTCTCATATAAATGAAACTTACACTGCTCCAGCAATCTGTCCATTCTCTACCACATCTTTATCTTCTTGACAGGGAGGCTTGTATTCCATGTAGTTTCTTTCTTCCAAATTTCTCAAAACCAAATTATAAAGAATGTGCTCGTTGGGTTTTTGCAAAAGGTGTTCAAACATTCGTAAAGTCATTATGCTGATCTGCAGCAGAAAGAGTAAAAACTCAATAAACTGATGCACTGCAGCTCTGTGCTTTTTGCCTTTTATCCACTTTGAACAGCCTAGAACATTGCAATCGCTTATAGACATTATGGAAGGAAACAAAAATCATAAGAAAAAATAGGAAATTATGATGCTACATATGGTATAAACACAGATGAAGAGTTCACATACATTTGAAAATCAATATGGGAATGCATTTTTTGTTTTTCTGTTAAAAAAACGATTCTGAAATATGTCAAAATAACAATACATAAAACCTATAGAGAACTCAAAATTTAACTTTCTCTTCTACAGTCAGATCCATGCTGGAGGATGGTTATCATTGTGCAAATGAGACCCACAACAGGACTTAAAGTTAGCAATAAATACACAGAATAAAAGAAAGTAATACTGAGATATTATGACTAGATCTATAGGCTAAGATTTTTACATGGAGACATTATGCAGGCTTTTAAAGGAACACTGACTTCAAGCAATACAAAGATAATTTTTCAAGACTGCTTGAGAGTGCTTAGCTTTGCAAAGATAACTAATTTACAGAGATAATTCATTCTGACAGGGTGAGCAGGTAGGCATACTGAAAAAATGGATATGGGAAAGTAGGGATTTGTATTTCAGGCAAGGCTTTTTTTTTAAGAAGTAGAGGGCTGAGGTTGTTTCATGGAAAAAATGAATACAAGCAGCTTCTGAGGAGGGATTTTACTGAAGTATATTATTTTAATGATGCTTACTGTACGTAAAGAGCTTAAAGTTATCACATCATCTTTTAATTGGCATTACATATATTCTGCAACCACACCTAGTTTATATAAACCCCAAGTTTTTATCTGTGTCTTATATGATAGTGAGACAGAATTGACACAACATGGAAAATAACAGTGACAAATTAAAATGCAATAACAAAAACTCAGTTCACTCTCTTACACACATGTAAGTCTAACTGGATATGCATAGTGGACACACAAATCTAACAAATCTTTAGCCTAAAAAAATAAAAAAAAACATTCTAGGTGGAGAAAACAGCTTGACCTCATATTCTAAAGGGAATTTGTAGGGCTGGGAGCTAGAATTCTCTTTCTTGGCAAAAAACGTTACTTAACACAAATATGAAAGTCCTCACAACAGCATCTTTACAGACTCTCCACTCCAGAACTGGCCAGCAGACATTCCTGTATCACATCACCCCTCACCTCATCAGAAATGTGATCACAGTGCTCGATCAGCCTGTGTCGCAATGGATGCCTGTTGATGTCTGTCAGTGTTTCTGGCTCTCTGTGCTCTCCAAGTATAAAATACACCAGTTCCTGCAGCAGGACATCCGAAGTCACCTGACGAACAATGCGGTGCAATAGTGCAGTTGACGTGAGGATTCCAATCTCTGAACTGAATGAAACATTTTTATATCAGATGTGGAGTGGGTTTCCGCCCCCCAAAAATCAGCTTGATTCAGATTCTGCTCTGCTGTGTCTTGCAGGATGCTACTCACGTTTGCATCAGCTGAGGTTCCATAACATCAATGAAGAATCGTTCCCGCACAGCTTTTGCCATAGCAACAGCAGTCGTCTGAAACAAAAGTACAAAATGGTGTGTCTCAAACTCGGAAACTAGGAAACAACTGCAATTACTTATTTTCTGAATATATTTGTACCATCTGAGCACATCTCAAACCTTTTGTGCTTCTTTGATGAGTTGATCACAGTAGTCAAACCAAGAAAGAAATGAAATCAATGCTCTTTTCCCTGGAAAAGCAGATGCATCTTCTTTGTGGCTATAGGAATCCAAGCTAGAGAACACAGAGAAAAAATATTTGTTTAGTCTACAAGTAATTGAAGAATCTTGGACTCCATTCTTATTGAACATAACAGAATAATTAATGACCTATTTGTAATGAAGGGAACATTAAAAAAGCTTTTCTGCCTGTCTCTATGGATCTGGCAGTGCCACCACAACACATGTATTCAGTGCATGCTAAAGGATATACAGAATGTACAGCACAGGAACTCTGGATAAGTGCTTCTGGAGTCAGAAGGGAAAACTGATCACCAAGTCTGTTCTCCCAAGAAACACAGACCACAGAAAATGAATCAGTAACTCTTGTAGTCACAGAACCATAAAATGAAGGCAATTGTTCTTCTCTACTCTGTACGCGACCTCAGGCAAAACCACACAGTGTATACCTGAACTAGACTGTATCTTTCCGAAAGAAACATCTATCTCAATTTAAGGGCTCTAAGGGATAACAAATACACCACTTTCTTTGGTAAAAAACTCCACTGTTTATTTATCCCACAATTAAAAGTCGTGGGTCTTCCCCTTCTAATTTTAAACTCCAATCACTAGAAATTTTGCCAGGTATTTTGAAAACACCTACTTTTGTTTCACTATTAATAGATCAGGGGCAATTCATAATAATGAAGGCAGAGTGGGGAAGAGAAATGCTTAAAGAATCTAAATTACAAGCAGTTAGGATAACAGGCATGTATCTTTTGCTTCATACTGATGCCTTATGTAACTTTCCTTCTTCTTTTTTGTTGGCAAAAATTTTGCAACAACAGCCTGTTAACAAATAGAGCCGTCTGCCCCTTCCAGCAGCTTCCAATGCTCACTGTGTACAGAGAGAAGTTTATGCTTCCTAAATCCTTGACATCTGCATGAGAATATAATCCATATCCACTAATTCTACAGTGACACCACTATAAATTGCTGATGTAATCCAGTGGAAAAACTTGCCCCCTGAGGAATCTCTGCCAGGGACTGGCAGGCAGACCTGGCCCCATGTCAGAAATCACAGGTACAGTGGACACCCAAAGTGCACCACTGTGCTGCAATTCCATCTTAGCTCTGCCCTTGAGGTTTTAGCCTGTGTGTGGGGGGAATATTTTATACACATTATCTGCCTATCAAATTAGTTTCAGGGAGGGGTGTAGAGTCACTTTGAGTATTAAATACAAAAATAAAATTCTTACCCCCAGTTAATTGCCTCCACTGTTTCAATGTCTAAGGGATCCAGTGACTGAGGCAAGGCTTTGTAGAGGGTGGCCAGCCTGTCTGTCAACAATTCACATAAACAAGTGCTTTGAGTCAGGCACTTGGCAGCTGCTGGTTCTGGCAAACTCACCAAAAGCATGAGACCTTCACAGGCCTTCACTGCTATCCGGCCGTCCTGGCAGAAGGGCATGGAAGAATTAATCAGAGGGAGAATGAAGGTCACTGGAAATCAAGAAGCAAACACCTCCCCAAAAAAAGACCTCCCAATTCCCCCACAGTGACTGAATGCATTTATTTTTGTTGTCTTTTCAGTCATCAACTCTAGTGAATTTGTATGCTACCAAATAAAGAATCTCACCTGATTTTGTGTGAAATACAAGAATGCCAGCTGCAGCCTTCCAGCTGACAGAACTAGAGCTGCAGGTCAGCTTGAGACCAAGATACCAAATCCTGTAAACTCCTCAACTTAGCAATAATGAGATACAGTGGTAGACTTGGTTTTCTGCTCTCAGTACGGCTGCAGCAATTACAGGCTTACTCAAACTTCTAAAATTTCTGAAAGAATCTAAGTCTAAATTTGAGGATTGAGCAGGGTAAGACATACAGCAGGCTTTTTAAAAACCCATTCCTAGAGATAGCTCAGCACCATTACAAAGTGAGTGGGTTTGGTTAAGTCAGAACAATTGAAAGTAGTTTTAAAAACATTGTCTTGTGATATATTTAACCTTCTGATTATCCTGTGTAACTTTCCTGTTAAACATACAGCACTCTACACAAGTTTTGTAAAAAACCCACTTATATTACCATCAACAAGCTTAGTATTAATTTTCTAAAATAGTATTTTTACTTTAATCTGAATTTGCAAAGAAAACCACCAATTTAAAAAAGTGCCTGCAAAAACCCTCATTTCACCTTTAAATAGCTAAAATACAGTGTGTTTATTCATTCCCTCTGCCCACTTCACACAGCATCTAACTATTTCATTTTATCACAGAGTGGAAAAAAACCCAAAAAACAAACAACAACAACAAAAAACCAACCAAACCAACTCACAGGACTTTTAGTGAGGTTTAGTAGAGAATTCACTAAATTATAGTCTTGATTTGGACAAGCAGTGGAGGACTCAGGTGGTGATGTGACATTGAGTTCATCCAGACTGAAAGAGAGATCATCTGCCTGTTGTGGGAGCTCATCTTCTTTCTCCATGTGCTCGGCTCCGGCAGCAGCAGGCGCCTCCTCAGGCTGGCCAGGCTGCCCTGTGTCTGTTGTCACGGACTCTTGGTCTTTTATCATGTCTTCAGTGATTACACTTGCTGATCCTTGAAGAGCCATTGCTTTCAATTTACTCTGCAAAGCATTTTTTGGAATTACACAGCTGAAATTACTGTTCATCCTGAAGCAGGAGTTTACTAAAAGCAATTTTTTTAACATCAACATTTGAAGTAGTCAAGGCTGGATACAGTAACCATGTAAAACGAAAAGGGCTGTGGGAGCGTGGGTATTTTATAAACTTAGGACACTTTTAAATCTGCTTAAATTTTTCTTAAGCCCTATACGTTTTGCTTCAAGGCTGAATATACCATTTACAAAAGGATGGCAGCTTTTTCTTTCACTACTGAAGGCACATATTCGCTTGATTTGCCCACAATTTGATAGAAGTTTTAAATTTATTTTATGGGTGGCATCTTTAGAACTTAGCACATTATAAAACATTTCTTTCTGTGTCAAGGCCTCACATTTATCTAATGTCTGAAACACTATTTCCAGTTGGAATCACACAAGTAAAGTAATTCTAAATTTCTTGAGATTTTACCTTCAACAGGAAAGGGAAAGAAACACCTCTTCTGACAGCAGAGTACTCTCAAATTGTGTTTCTCAAGAAGAAAAAATTGAGTGGATTGAATGGATAGAAGATATTAAAAGTTAGCATTGGGCACTGGATACTCTAAAAGGTCACAGAGAACCTTCTTGGAAGCTCCAAACCATCTCTGCTTTGCCTGTAAAAAGGCAATCCATCTGTCTTCCTATAAATCTGTCTCCAGCACATAAAAAGACATTTAAATTTGTGCTCTGAGATACCATGAAGAAACTCACAGAAAGGCAAGAATTCAGTGTTCTGCTGGCGTAAGCGCAGGTGAAGAATACTTTATTGGAATCATAAATTAGAATGCAGCACAAGACATTTCTTTCAAGTGAGAACTGTACTGAGATTATAAATCCAAACGGTTCCCTTCTCTATGCTAACACCAAAATTATTACAAATATATCTCAAGCATTAATAATTTAAAAGACTAACCATTTGGGGTTAATGGATTTTAGTTCAGACAAACCAGCAGGGACCGAGTACATGACAGTCAGGCAGAAAACTGGAGAGCTGCTGTGAACACTTGCTCGAGTGCTGTGCATTCATTGTGGGGAATTTGCACTGGGCATTGTGATGCACTCTCAGAACCAATTCCCTGGAGAAGCAAACCAGTGGTAAAAGCAGCAGACTGCATGCTATAAAATAAGGATGCTCTTTGAATGCAGTAGAAAGATTACTGCTTCAATACAGTTTTGGATTTTTTGACAGTGTGAAAAGCGCAAGGCTAGCAAAGCAACAAAAAGGCGTCTGTCTGAACCAAGTTTGTCTATCACCAGAGCTTCTGCAATCCTTCAGTATTGTCCCGTCCTCCTCATCAATACACAGAAATATCTGAATCACAACAGTGACCCTTGCACATAAAGGTTGGAACAGCATTTCAATCCTGGACTTTGCACTGTTGCTGGCACACTCAAGCCGCAGGCAGGGTTGTTAAAGGGAAAAGATTTTTTTTTTTCCAAAAACTGGGCAATGTTCTGTAAAATACTTATTTTATCTTATAGTGGCTTATTACGTCATGTCTCGATTCTTCTGCCGTTTGAAATGCCATTTTTTGTTTAGCCAAGGCAGTGATGACAGAACTAAAATATATAAATGTATGAATGCCCCTCGAAATGTGTCCATAGCTCATTACTCTTACATTGGCAGGTGACACAAAGCAGTTTGTACATTGAACAACACGAAGGCAGAACTTTTGTGTGTATTGAAGCTTCCTATTGTTTAATCATGCAATTCTGCAGCTCAGCTGCTCACCTGCCTCCTGCAAAGGTGCAAAACAGGATCCTGAATGACCTAATAGAAAAGGTTACATAAACACATATTCAATGCTTTCTAAACAAAGTACTCGTGAATTCAGAATTAACAAAGAGCAGATAATATAAAACCACACTTTTGTATTTTTGTGATCAGTAAACATCGGTTTTAAAATCTGCAGTGAATGATGCTATGTCTAAATTCTGATAGATTTAAAAAGAGTTCTGTGAAAACATCAAGAGATATCACAGCTGATGGAAATCTCTACTTAATTTGTGGTGAGAAATAAAAAAGGTAATAATTCATAGTACTGAAAGCAGAAGTGAATAGTGAAACTATTGTTCATTTTATAAAATGAAGATACAACTATTTAGCTACTATATTAGAACTTTTTCAAGGTCTCAAGAGCAGAAGTTGAAGCACAGAGTTAAGTGTCCCTTTGCCAGAAACAATCAGTTGCAAGGAGTATCTCACCTAAAATGGGATGAGATGCAATGAGGCAACTTGACCCTAAAATATAACTGAGGCAGAGCTGACAAACAAACATTACAATGTATATTTTTTCTCTCTGCACAAGAACTAGGAAAACTCAGTTAAAAAATAAAGGGATACATTAAAGACAAAATAAAATTAGTATAGGGATCCTAAAGTTTTAATAAAGTAGAATGAAATTCTTCCAGTTCTTATTTCCACAACAGACATAACTTGCCCAAGCAATACAGTTATGCCATGTACTTATTGATTAAATCTTATAAGTTAAAGATATCACCTATATTGATTAACCAATATATTTTTATATATATATAAATAAAATTTAAAATATAAACCAGCATTCTATCAACAAACTATTTGATATAGAATTATACAAAGGAAGTGAGTTTGAAGACACCCAGTTTTTTGTGTTCAAAAAATCCTGTATAAACCAACTGGAAACAGTCAAAGAAGGAAGCAAAACTAACAGATATTAACACTCTCTGGAGAGATCCAGCTGCATTTCACCTTGAAAGTGTTGGAGACTGGAGATAGAAATGCCACACAGAATTCTGTAAATTTACCCTTTCATGCATTAGAAAGTGATCAAGTCACAACAGCACCTCTAAGAGGCCAAATGTGAACAACCAGAATATCCTATTCTAATGAAGCACAATTCTGCACCCCACATAACTGATCTGGAAAAAACCATCACAAGTCATGAAGACAAATGCTTTAGGCTACAACACCTAGAATAATCTGTGAAGTAACAGGAGCCACAAGAAATGTTTGCCAGCTTGCCTGAACTCCATAGCCAGCATTCTGTGAAACCAGAGTCTTTGAAATTTGGAATCATCTGTTTCTTCATGTCTGTTTTTTAATACTGGAATCTTAAAATGCTATTTTGGGGAAGAACACTAATAAAAGTAGGACAAAACACTTGTGGTTCTTATGACTAGGGTTCTCAGGTTTGATTGCAAGGGCACTATTTAAGAAGCTTAGACCATACAACTTACACAAATAACACTAAAAGTAATCCTGGTTTAGAATTCTACCATATCTTGCATGTAATATATGCAGTAGTTTGCTTCTGAGTGCTTCTAATGTTTAAACATTAACTTTTCAATCCTTATACCATTTCTGCTGCTTGTATAACTACACTGGATACAATGGCAATCAGGATAATACTTAATTAAAATAAAAATAAACTCAAGATGGATTCTTACTACTGACATACAAATGATAATCACATACTTAATGGAAAATAACATATTTTTGCAGTTTAGCAGCCTCTTCTGTCAGAGATCTTGTTTGTGGAAAGCTTGTGAAATAGTCCTGAAGGAATATTTTTCAGGAAAGTATCACGTATTTAATAGAGACTGTGTCACCACAGGAAACAGCAAAGTGGGAGCAAAAGGCATTTCTAAATGGACTTTTATAAACCAAATTTTTTTATGCTCCTTCTAAATAGGAACTGAAAGTCAGTCCAGAAACTGTTTATCCTCCCACTCTGATTTCATAACGCCACATGTTAAAGGAGGCAGTACAGATACTTACAGGCTGTCTTAGAAGATGGTGCTGTATTGTAGACTGTGAGCTGGCACTGCAGCTCAAACATATGTGCCACTACCAAATAAGAGCCCAATCCTGCAGAACACTCAGCAGCTTGCAAGGTTTCAGTGCCCCCTGCAATCTGTCCCTTGGTCTTTGTTGGGATGACAAAAACAACACAAGAAGGCCAAGGTCTCCTTCACACAGTGTTCTACACTGCAATTCATATCCCTGCTCTAAAGGCACTTTCATTGCCAAAGAAAAGGACCATGGGCAGGTGTATTTGTAAGCCATGAATTAAATTCTTGTGAAAATCAGATGTATAAAGTCTCTGGGAGAAAAAAAATTCCGAACAGGATTTCTGATATCACAGGATAAAAAAATAACAGATGGAATGTAAACTAAGCTATGAAGCACAATGTGACAGCACCACTTCTCCGCTAGATTTTGCATATGACACAGTAAATACACCTGTAAAATTCTGAATTGATTTACTCACCTCAAGGAAGAAGTTGACCAGGTACGGATCCTGTTTCAGCTTTGCACATACAATACAGAGAAACTGAATTTCTTCATTTTCTGTTGGTGTTGCCAGAACCTCACCACACAGCCTGATTAACTTCTGTCACATAAAGAAAATTAAGACAGAAAGTTATTGCTTTTTCTAGGAATAATAGACTGAATTATTTTTCTATATACACACTACAGTTATGTATGAGTATTGACTGGAACACTTGCTCTGGATTTAGACAGCAATGAACAAGTTTTCTTTATGACCTGCATGGCAGTGGCAGTCCAAGGTGCTAAACATCTGCACATTAAAAAAAACCCTGATATGGTACCCAAGCAATTTCCTTAATTCATCTGACAATGGAAGAATTAAAGAAATAATTCTTTACTAAGATTATTAAAGAAATAAAGACAGCAGAATAAAAGAAACTTGTCATGCAAAAATATAGTTTACTAAAATCTGAACAGTACCTGCACTGGCCTATGCACGTTTATGTGGGGAAGAAGAGGTTGCCGTATTCTTCCAAGAAGTTTTGTATAAAAAGCCAGAACTTGCTGTTTCATTCCTGGGGGACACTTAAAAAATCAGATGAACAACAACAAAAATACAATAAACGTGGAGAAAAATACAGATGTAAATTTTCCACTCAGAATGGCTAATTAAACAGCAGTAACTTAACCAAAAGTACTTTTTACAAAGTCATCATCTGTTAACGTATTACTTTTATCAATATTAACAGAGATCAATAACAAATATTGCATCTCATTACTGTTTTCTCTTTCAAATTATTCATACTTTCAGTTAATTGCTCTAGGGCAAACTTCTACCAATCTTTCCAGAAAATATTCTGTATCATTACAGTGATAAGGGGAAATTAACTTGGAATTAATTTGCTACGGGTCAGACGTCTTTTAAGGTACTATGCCACAAAATCCAGCAATTCAATGAGTCAGTACATACAAATACAGAATGATAAACTACAAAAATCTTAATACCTGCAGAAGGTTTATTAAAGTCACGAGCAATTAACCTTAGGCAGCTAAAGCGCACAGATGGTCTAGGACAAGAGAAAGCTGTTGCTTTCCCTGAGCAGAATATAAATCACAAATATCTGTGGAGCATGCAGACCCTTGTTCTACTGTCCCTAATGCACTGCACCACACGAAAGGACTTTCCTATCTCCAGATCTGATGGCTTGTGGGCCTTTACGTATCTTTGTTTCTAGCTCAATTTCCCCAAACTAATGTGTTCTACCATGTTAATAAATGCTGTTAATTTTAACTCACATGATTTCCCTCATCTGTTTCACTGCAAGTTTGAATGCAGCTGAGGTGACAACAGCCTAACCTGGCTCGCCTTTCTAAGTAATTATCTCTAGATTTTTAATCCCTAATCATTTCTGAGTTGTCAAGCAATCCTTTGAACAGAATGGCAAGACATGTACCATCAGGGTACATCCACAGTAATGTAGTAAGTCTAACTGACTGCTGTGAAAGGGAAGTATTCATTTTGCACCAGATCTTTGCAACATCTTGCAAGCACTGAACTGTGTGTTTACTTCAGAGGTATCAACTCACAAGTGGCAAAGTGTAAAGACAAGCTGTACAAGAATTGCCTGTACAGACATATTTGTATGAGTACAGAATGACTTCTTTCAACTCTTAGAAACACACTACTAATTACCCACTTCACATATGTCACCATTTCATCTTGGTTTCTTGACAACATTTAGAGATTACTGAACAAGCTTTATTTCTGAGCAAGTATCTTTAATACAGCAGTGTTGTTGTTTTTAAGCCCAACTGGAGCAGGTATTTCAGCCTGACTGTAGGACAGCTGGTACAGTAACAGGTAATGCAGATCTCTGGCTCTTCCAGAGCAAGGAAGGTCTCAGGCTCAGCCAGCCACTGTCCTGTGCTGCCCGTTCATGTAAAATTGATTAAAAATTCATGACAATGTGTAAAAGACTGGCTGAGAAGGAAACCCTGGAGAGCACCATTTATCCTTGGAAAAGGATAAACCATACCTCCCTAACTGCATCTGCACTGTGATACAAAATATTCTACCACAAGGGCTGCCAAGCTAATTCACCCCGTGATCCACCCAACCCCACACATTTTAGCTCACAAGTCTGCCAAGAAAGACAGCAACAAGGATGGACCAAGACCATGAAGGTAAATTCCTGTGTGCCACAAAGCAGACATGGAGAACCAGACAACGCTGCCAAAGTATAAAACCTGTTCGGGGATCAACCCAAATTATTTCTGCTATCAAAATCTTTCTGAGTAATAGCTCAACACACTCAGAAAAGTTAATCAAAAATTTGTATTTAACACAGCACTTTTCACCCAAGAATCCCCCAACATTTAACAAGGGACAGAGAGGGATAATACTGTCTTGTAGTAGCCAGAAAAACTCCAGACTGAAGAAAAATGTTTCTCCTGCTTCTATAGCTGCACTGTCAGCATAGTGGTGAGTCTCAGGATTCTGTCTCAGCCAGCACCTCAGGGCTGTCTCCCTGCTCACACCTGTAAAAGGCTGTTATTTGTAATATGCTGGTAATATACATTGGTATATTTGTAATATAATCAAGCAGCTCTTAGCTAGAGTTCAGCGTCCCACACTACCACCTACTGTAGAATTTCAGTCTCTATCACAACTAGGAGCTCACACAAGAGATAATTCTGTTCTGCTGAGAGATACATACATCAGCTTTTCCTAGTGTGTAGAGCGTCTCCAAAATCTTGTGATGTAGCAAATATTCCATACATGGTCCTGTTTCGCCTGATTCCCTCTCATTTTCTTCTTGAACTAGAATATCCAGCATCTGTTCCAGGTGAGAGGGAATGTTGGTATCAGTCACAGGAGCTTTGTCATCTAAATAAAAGAAACAGGTAATTAAGAATGATTTAAAAACTGCCCTTATATTTAAGTTCAGTTCCAAATTTAAAACTTGACATAAACATGACATCCACTTAAAGAACCACATATACAGTGCAAGTTTTTAACATGTCTTACAGAAAAATTTCAGAACTGTATATGGACATGTACATTGGAATATGCATTGGACAGATATCTGACCTTGAAATGGGGAAAAGATGAAGTGCCAAAATTCAAAACATGCATTAATAACACAGTCAAAAAAGGAAAATTTCTACTGCCAGACAGCAAGCCAAGGGAGGGAAAGGTACAACTCTAAATCTTCTGTTTAGTATGCACTAGGTCATGATAATTTCCTCTTTGACCCTTCATACAGTATTCTTGAATCTGTGAACAGCCTCTAACATCAGCCTAATTTGCAGTTGATCAGTTCCTTTATAAACTAGATTACTAAATAAATGGCTTTTCTGTGGTAACAACAAAAAAAATTTAAACTCTATGCTGCTTATTCTCCAAAAGCCTTTACATTTCTCTTTTGTACTTTCTGCATTGAAATAGAAGTCCGTCAAACTTTATGAAGGAAAGGGTAAGATGTCGATTTTATTATATTAAAGTCATGAAACTGCCATGGATTTATGCCACTGGCAGTAGGAGCTGGCATTCACATAGTGTAGACCATATCCATGCATGAAGATTTTCCTCTTTATTTTTTTTCAGCTGAATTCTACTTGAACAACTATCCTAGGGAAATGGTTACTACTGTTTATGCAATGATCTAAAAATAACTTGTCACTTGCATGCAACTGGCAACAAGATCACACAGGGAAACTGCTATGTCAGAGTGATTTTGGTCATGGCCACAACCTCCAGTTAGCCTGGAGTGTTTTGCTTGAATTTTCTACACATAATTCTGCTCCTACTGCAGAGGACAGAAATATATCCACCGTGTGGAAACTTGTTTTTCAAAAGATTGCTGAAACTCTGCGAGAGAGGTCAGCTTTTATTCTGCACCACGTCACTGCAGGTGTCAGTTTTCTCTGCCACCCTGTCATTTCCACCTTTGGAAACATCACATAGTGTTCCAAAAGATGGGTATTTGGAACCAAGGGTCATGTTGCAGTTTTATGAGTAAATATTGATATAAACAAGATCATCAGACACAAAAACAGATTCAACAGCTCTTGCAGTAGAAGGTCAGAACTAATATGCTTGAGGAAAGCATGGCAACATTCACTTTTAAAATATAATTGTTTCATAACTAGGTCCAAAATTAAAATTTTATGTGCTGCATAATTGTTGGAAAAAACCCCCAAAAACAGAGAAGAGTTTAAAACAAAGCAACTACAGCCATATTTTATCATAATATCCATTTCTAAGAAGAGCAGTGTAGCATCTAAGTAAGGTTTAACAAAACTCGTCTATGCTATCAAAGTACTTTACACTGAGACAAGACACTAAAGCAAAAACAACTAATACAGAGCACATGGAATCCATCTGTGTCTGGTAAAATCTATGACCACAAAATTACTTTTGTTGAAATCTTGCAAAGAAAAAGAAAATCCCCGATGCAAAGCGATAAAAATGTTAACAGCAGGACTGCATTTCTGCAGCTGTCTGTTTAGATTAAACAGAGTATGTGAAGGCAGAAACTGGGTCAGATGTAAAAAGGTGCAGTTCTCTACATGGTACTCAGGAAACAAGACTTCAACCATTTTTCATGCCTACTTTTACAGGTGGAAGTACATGATATTTTTAATTATTAGTTATTATTGGTATTTTGATTAATGACATGACTCATTTTAGGATTTCTTAATCTTTACTTTTTAAAAACACTGAAATAGTGAATTCTAGTTTCCACAATAAAAAAAACAAACACAGAGTGCTTTCCTCTTTTACCTGAGGTCTCTATGTAGTAATGGGTGATTGCTTTCCAGTGGTAAACAAAATCTTCTTGTAATGGAAGGGAAGGTGCGAGCTATGGGAAAAAAAAACCACAACAAACAAAAACCAGTTAGAATTGGAATGAACATACTTGCCCAGAGACTAAACTCAATTTTATCTTATACTTGGAAGTAAAGTGCTGCAGATAGTGCTACAATTGTTACTCTCTGCCCTTTTACCTTTAACAAGGACTACATTCATTATTCATGGCTGAGCCCCATGCCACACTGCCTGCCTTGTAAACATCAGTAATAATCTCTGTGATGTCTCTATCACCATACAATCTATTTCAAGCAACAAAAGCAATTGCTCCTACAGCAAAGCAACACTAGAAATGTATGTTTGTATTGTTTAGACCACAGTTTTATCCTGCTGGAAAAAATGTTCTTTTACATCTGCTTTTGATGCCTTCTTTGCTGTACACTCTGTTCTCTCTGTCTGCTCCCTTAAAAATACCAATTAGTTGTTTTATCCAGTTTTTGCCATGCCTTTTTTCTTGTTACCCATAACTTCTTTTAAAAGATCTTTGTTCAGTTTTTAGGTTGAGTTTGTTCGTTTTTTCTTTTTTGCACATTTTTTGTTTGCTTTTTTCAGGCCCATACCCAGAGTTTGGCAAGTTGTTTTGGGTTTTTTTTAGACAAATATGTTTCTTGCTTCATTTCTGCAAGAAAAGGAAGTTTCTTCTTTCCTGGAGGAGTTTGGGATGGCCGGCTGGGTGTGAGCAGCATCCAGGAATAACACTGTGCAAGAAGGAAATGCAGCCCCCCACAAAAGTCATCATCAGCACTGCTCCTTCCCCACTGACACAGATGACTTGTGGCCTATTACACCACAGGCAGCCTGTGAAAAAAGGACCACAATCATTTCACCACTCTGCTCTCCAAAGTGAGGACTGAGACAAGCACTGAATTTGTGCCCATGAATGTTTTGAGCTGGTAAAATCAGAAATGCTATAGGGAAAACTTCAACAATTCAATTGGTCATAGGAGGATCTGTTGTTATTGAGGCCTAATCCTACTTGCTTGAGGGTTGGTTTTTTTTTTTTGACCATCAAGTCCTCAAGTCATTCTTTTACAGGCCATCCTGAAATAGGGGATTATCACTTGACAGGATGGCAGCAATGACCCCTGCGGGCAAACAGAAAGAATTCCAAGTATAAACTGGTGTGTCTGTTTTGGAAGGGTAAGGAGTTTAACCATCCTGACAGGGTATAGAGTCCAGTCCCTCACAGAAACTCAGAAGTTGGAAGGAGCCTCTGGAGATCATCCAATTCAGCCCCACTGCTACAGCACAGTCACCTAGAGTCGGCTGCTCAGGAGCATGTCCAGATGGCTTTTGAATATGTCAAAGGATGGAGACTCCACAGCCTTTCCAGGAACCTGTGCCAGGGGTCAGTTAACTTCACAGAGAAAGGTTAACTGAAGGAAGTATTCTCCCCAGGAGCTACAGATGCCACATTTGAGACTAACTCTGTGTCTCCCCGCAGGGTCTAAAATATACTGTGCTATGTCTCAGTTCTTGGGCACACAATGGCTCAGGGGAACAGGGCTAATATATATGTACTAACAGTCTAGTACACTATAGGCTCATGTGGTCTTTACTGGGTGGTGTTGATTTCTTTGAAAAAGCCCTGGATGTTTTCCACATCAGTCTTTTCTTTGCCTTGAATTTAATGACACTTAAATTTATCTTGGTAAAGTTGTAAAGCCCAGTATATGACAAGCATTCCATGCCAATATAAGTGCAATGCTAATTGTTAACAGCCCTTTGCACACAGGACTTTGAAATGCAAGACTCTGGAGAAGTAGTGGTGCTTGGCAACTATCTCTGCTTCCATCCCGGGTGGAAATGTGCCCTTGGAAATAAATGGCAACCAGGAAATCAAACTGACAGTGCTTATCCTCTCCCTGACAGGTTGTGCACTCACTGAGCCTTCCACGGCTGGGCACTCAGCAGCACATTCAGAGTATCTGAACACACCACACTGCACAAAACCAGTTTATTTTACTGTGACATTTACTAGGTTATTGAAATTCAGAAGAATAAACAAACAAACTGAAGACTGAGCATATGATATTGTGTATCGTGCTCTGTATGTCACACTAGCTGCACTAGATGTGTATTTCAAGCAATGTAATGATCATTTTTGTAAAAAAATGCTGTATCAAAGCCTCAACGCCAGCTGATGAATAACCCAGAGACAACTTTTGAGGAATATAGACCTCTCAGACCACTCTATTTCCAAAGTAACACATGATAGATAACATTAAAGATTTATCCTTGGCTGACGTGATTTTCCTCTCCACTTCTTCTCGTCTCATCTGCCTCAAGATGAATTTAGTGCCTCTGAGCAGTGCCAGGAAAAGGATTTCACTTCTGAGCATCGTCAATAATTTATCCACCATGGGAGAGAACTGTGGATATACACATTCTCCCTCCCAACAAATGCCTCTAGGGACTCTTCTCAGAGGTGAAAAAATAATTCAGGGATCGTTCCTGCCCTTTCAAATTAAAATGCCAAGTGATTTCAGTCTTCTCTGATCAGGACAGCAAGCCAGACACAGCAAACAGAGATAACATTAGCATGTGTGTGCACCTGGACAGTGCAGCCTATTGGGAACACACCATCAGCACTGCCACCAACTGGAGATGTAAGCCCAGCAAGATTATTTTGAGTTAAGTGTTTGCTGATCAAAAAACCCAACAATAACCCACAAGCAAACAAACAAAACAAAATAAAGGAAAAAAAAAACCCACCAAGCAATCCTCTGAATATAGTTATTCAGACACGAAATCAAGGTCAAGACCAAGACCAAGACACCAAGCTTATATGTATACAAAGCCAAGAATTGGCTGTTAGAATTGGAAACTCTAACACTTGGCTGACATGCTTTAACCCTACCAGGACAGGTAGTATTAGTATGAGGTTAAAGTTTCTGTTTTAGGATGAATTATTAGCTATCAGCTGAGATGGAATACATGTTACAGCTGCCAGCCTGAATAACTATTGTGTAAGTAGTCATACTTGTATGGAGATTCTGAAGCAAACCAGAATTCCTTGTGAAGGCCATTAATTCCTGCTACTTGTCTAATTTGAAGGAGTTACCTTAGAAAAGCAGTTATTTCTCACCATTACATCAGCTGGTTAGGGCATGGTGCTAATAACACCAAGGTTGTGGGTTTGATCTCTGTATGCGCCATTCATTTAAGAACTGGACTTGTGGGTTCCTTCCAACACAGAATATTCTCTGACTCTGTAATTAATCCTGATGTAATTAAGTATTTTCTTAGTGATTCTTAATCGCAAAGTGAAGTTCCCCTTCTCCAGGGAAAAACCCCCCATGATCTTCAAGCCTACAGTGTAGGTGTTGGTGTACGAATTAGCGAAAATTCACTGAACACCACTGAGCTGCAGCCCATTGGAGCAGCCATTGATTAGCAAGATCTTCCATCTGGTGCCCAGCTCCAGCAGTTGGGCTTCCTGGGAGTGAGCTGAACTTAACACATGGTGCCTCATCCTTCTGGTGACAATATGTAACAAATAATCAAAGCCCACGAAAAGTGCTGTTCTCAGGAGAGTGACAGATCTTTGACCAGAACTACAGTCTGCTCACGACAAAACCTGTCCAAAATATAATTCCATGTCATTTGTCAAAGCATATAGAATTCATGTTTAGGCAGAAAAAAAAAATAACATAAAGAGCAAAGAAACTTATGTATATGCAGTATTTAAAAGCAATTCTTCTGTGCATGTAAAAATCATTGTCATATTTTTCATGTATGTTTTTCAGAAGTGCAATTCAATACTAGAAAGGATGGAAACATTAGAATTTGGTGGTATGTCTCAATATCTTTAAGGCAAATTCACAAAGGAAATAGAACACCATATAAAAAAACAGGTACTCTCTGGTTAGATGCCAGAGCAAAAAAAAGAGAGCAGAAACTGGGTCAAAGAGAAAGGAAGGGGAACTGCTTGCGCACTGCCCTGACTAACACGGTCACTTGATGCTTTCCTTCAGTCTTTACTACAGTACCAGTGTGAATGGTCTCAGAGAAAATGTGAAGAATGATTAACACTTGAAGGTTTACTTGATCCTCAGTTGATGAATGCACAGAGTTTACAATGGCCACTGCTCTCACATATAAAATTAAGACGGCACATGCTTGCAAGTCATGCATTAAATTCTGTCATCTAATTTGTTAATACCAACATTAAAACAACGAGTAATGTAATATCATTACATCAAATAAAGTGGGTTTAAGAGGAATAAATTCTGTTCTAATCAGTTGGAACACTGCCTTTACCAAGTGACTTGGTTTCTTTCAAAGCTGAGTTTTGCTTCAAAATACAAACAGAAGCTACTTGAAAGTACGGTAATATAGCAGTGTCAGAGATAGAGTGGAGAAACAGGCTGGTAGAGAGAGGAGTCTCAAGAATGTGCAGCAGGCACCATAATCTTCATTCATTCAATTGTGTGGTACAAATATTCCTGTTTGACAGCAAACTGCGAAATTCAAGCCAACCAAAATTATATTTTTCCTGCAAGGTACACAGCTAAAAAAACATCCCTTTGAACAGACTATTAAGGTGAAACATCCAAAAGTACAAATCAAACACAAAGTAAGTCCTTTGAACACTGAATGGCCACTTCAGATAAGCTATTTTTTCTAGGTTTGTCTAGGGAAATGTAAGTGAAAAGCACAAGAAAAGAGAAAAATAAGTCTAACTTGCTGCTTTTGTTACTGTACACTACATTTTGTTGTTGCTGACAATGTAGTGCTCATGGATAACCCTTCGGGATGAAAGTGTATCAGAAATGCATAGCAAAGAGAAAGCATCTTGAGGACAAGCCATATATAAGCTGTCACAGATTTAATAATATGAACCCCATGAAGCAACAGCATTTCTATTCTGCCCTGAAGTAACAGAACAAAGACAGCAGTCCTATCCACCATTCTCACTACACATCCAACTCAATTTAAGGATGATGTATTGGCAGGGTAACACAGTGGTGCTTGCTCATCTGGATGTTGCAGAAAAATCCGAAAAGCGAAAAGTATCTAAAATACTGGCAGGACTGACATAAGAGGTGGCAAAAAACTAGAATTCTACGGTCACGAAAATCAGGAATATGGTTTCAAACACTTGGGCAATTCAGTCAGAAAATACTGAAAGTTTTGAATTATTCAAGCAGAATCACAGGATCATAGTCAGGTTTGGTTGGAAGGGACCTTAAAAGACCACCTGGTTCCAACTCCACTGCCATGGACAGGACACTTCCTACCAGGCCATGTTGTTTTAAGCCACATCCAGGCTAGTCTTGACCACCACCACAACCTCTCTGGGAAAAAACCTTGGTAAGGAAAAAAACTGAGTAAAAAGCAACTGATCCCTTATGTTTGCCTCAAGCACAGTCCTGTCAAGGGCAGCCAGTTCAAGAGTGATACACAGAACAAGTAAAAGGCAAATACTGCCATGTCTATCAGACTGTCAACCTTTGGAACTCCTTGTCAGAGTTCAGAGGGATGGCATACTGAGGGAAAGATAACAACCATTATCTAATAGCATGGGAACCCTTACTGTTTAAATGCATCTCTCTAAAGTTTGCAGGCCTGTGGGCCCTTAGGCAGGGCAGGGGCATTTTATCAGTGATGTGCAGGAGAAAGGATAGGGCAGAAGGGCTACCCAAACCATTCTGATTTAAGGAAGTCCCACCCATGGAAGCTAAACCCAGGCTCTTCAAGTGTATTTAAGTGTCCAGCTCAGCTGAAAACTGTACAGTTGCAATTCTACCAACTCTGAGGTAGGCACCCAAAATTTTTGAGAACTGATACCTTAATTACTAGTTCTATTGCTGATATTCAGGGGTAAGAATCTGATTGAGGCTGGCCACGTTACTTGCTCCCCAGCAAAAACAGCAAGCAAAAATCATGTTCCAGATCCCTTGGTTCTGAAAACAGCAGGCAGCATCAAAGCGGACTGAGCTAATATTTAGTATTTATAAGAGTTTTCATTTCCCCACACAAAGCTAAGCAGACCACATCTTTTTACAACAGGGAGAATGAAACAACTTGGGTGCCACGTACAGCACCAAACTAGTTAAAAATCTGTATTTCTCAATTCCATCTTAGCGGATCCAACTTATAAAGTATGGAACATTCTTAGTATCTTCCTGCTTTTGCAATTCCATGTTTCATTCCTAGTATGTGGCTCTTGTTATCTGTCACAATCCTGTAAATGCAACAGTGCAGTATTTATCAGGAGATCCACCATGGTGGGTGTTAGCAGAATGAGGCAATTCTACAAGGGACACCAGAGGTGAGCAAGGACAAACAGCATGGTGCTGGACAGCACTCACTTGCAAAATGATGGTATCAGTATGTGTTTCTGTATTTTTGTTTGGGTTTTTCTATGAAAAAAGAATGTCTAGTCCCTGCTATCTCTACCTTTCTCCTGTTCCATTCAGCTAATTTGTTTTTCCTATTTTTTACTGCATCTCAAATAAATAGTTATTTTTGTATATATTTTTGTACACATCAATAATGTAAACACCCTCCTAACAGTAACTTCTATTAGACCTCTCAAATTGGTAGGCCTCCTGCATCTCTCAGTCACCCACTCTTATTTCTGTTATTCAAAATGTGGTACAGCTCACCACAACAAACTTTCTTTAGTCAGGCAGGCACTAATTTCTGTTTCCTCTCCAATGAAAGCACTGTCTATTGAAGGCATTCACATGTGGTCAGAATGTTTTCAAATAGAACATTTCATCATTATTTAAAACATTTCATTCCAAATGCCACTACACCATTTAAAAAGCAAACTAGGAGCCTGCAATTAATGAATACATGCTTAACTTTTAAACCGGAATACTCCTGCAGAACTACAGGCTCACATAAAGACAGGTATATGCTGAAGTGGAGCATCAAAGCATACATTAATGCACAAAGGCTGCCCCTCAGATGAGGCAGGATTTAGCATGCAGGCTCTTATTGCAATCATTTATATTTGGCCTGCAAGCTGTTTTTTCAGGCATTTGAACATTTTTTCTTCAACACTTTCCACCTTCAGTATTTCACTGCCAATTTTTACCACCTCTTCACAGTCAAGTCTCCTGGATGTGCTGGCTTAGTGGGAGAGGCGCTGAAAAGCAGGGAATTACTACCAAGACCCCGCCTCACTGAAAAGCCAAAAATAAATGGTGTGGCCAAGCAGTGCCGAGCGCGGCCTGCAGCAATGGCAGCTCCGAACAGGCCCCGTTTCCTCTGCCCAGCTCAACTGCGCGAGTCCCGGTCAGGGAACCTCTCTGCACACACAGCCCCGCGTCCCCCGGCCAACCTGACCCCCACACGACCACAAAATAAACCAGGCATGGAAAGCGTCGCTTTGAAACTGACAACATCCTGCAGAAGCACCGGTGACGGCAACTATTGTCTGGTGCTCACGACGAGATGGAAATCCTGGGGAGTTTCCCGATTCCTCTCCTTTATTGTTTGTCTCGCTGAAACAGCCGGGCAACGCCCGGGCCAGGGCTGCCCTCAGGCCCGGCAGTGCCCGGCGGTGACAGCCGGAGGCTGTGCTGGGGCCGCCCGGGCAGCAGTCGCTCCCTCCTCCCCCGGTACCCCCGGCTCTCCAGGGCCTCGCTGGGGCGATTCGTTCCCTTCCGTGCTCCCTCCGGGGCCCGTCAGGGCAGCTCGGCCTCCGCCTCCCCCGCCCGCGGCAAGGCCAAGCCGGGAGCGGATGCGCGCCCTGCGGGGCCCCGCCGGCAGCAGCGCCGGGGGCAGCGGGGAAGGGGCACCGGGCCCGGCCCGAGCCCCCGCCTCGCGCTCGGCGCTAGGCCCGGATCGCATCCCCGGCGCGGCGTGGCGGGGCCCGCCGGCGGCCTTACCGCCTCCACGGCGTGCTGCAGGATGGAGGTGAACTTGGAGAACATCCTGTCCCGCGACTGCAGCAGCCGCTGCCGGGAGGACCTCGAGAGCTCCTCGATCCGCCGCCGCCGCCGCTCCAGGGTGAGGGCTGCATGCGGGGGCCTGGCCGCGGGGATCGGGCGGGCGGGCGCCGGCGCTGCCTCTCGCTCCCCGGCGGACACCGTGGCACTGACACCGCCGGCTGCGCGGTGCCTGCCGAGGCCCCGGGTATCCTGCAGGGGCCGCCACCCCCCGCACGCCGCTCGGCCCGGCTCGGCCCGCCCCACTCCGCTCCGCCCGGCCCGGCAGCGCCGCGTTCCCGCCCGGCAGGGCCGCTTGTGCCGGCCCCGGGGTGCGGGCGGGGCGGGAAGCGGGTCGTGCGCGACGCTGCTGGGCTGCGAGCGGGCGCTGCTATGCCTCGAGCCAGCCCTCGCTTCTGCGGGCAGCTCCCGGGCAGGGAAGCGAATCACAGCCACAGGATGACTTAGGCTGGAAAAGACCTTGAGATCATCGACTCCGATTTACGACCGAACACCACCGCGTCAACCAGACACTGAGTGCCATGTCCAGTTTTTCCTTACGCACCTCCAGGATGCTGACTCCACCACCTCCCTGGGCAGTCTATTCCAATGTCTAATCACCCTCTGGTTGAAGAAATTATTCCTAATGGCCAACCCAAACTTCCAGTGGCACAACTTAGAACTATGTCCTCTTCTGCTGCTGGTTGCCTGGGAGCAGAGCCTGGCTACAATCTTCTGCCAGGGAGTTACAGAGAATAATAAGGTCCTCTATGAGCCTTCTTTTCTCCAGGCTAAACAGCTCCCGTGCCCTCAGCCATTCCTCACAGGACACGTACTCCAGACCCTCCCCCAGGTTCTTTGCCCTTCCCTGGCCTAATTCTAGCACCTCAATGTCCTTCCTGAATTGAGGGGCCCAGAACTGGACACGGCACTCAAGGAATGGCCTCACTAGTACTCAGTGGTGCAGAAGGGCAATCGCTTCCCTTGTGATTGGCCAAACTGTTCCTGAGATAGGCCAGGATGCCATTGGCCTTCTTGCCCACCTGGGCACACACTGATTCAGGTGAGGGGAAGGGGTGCCCACCTCCTCAGTCCCTGTGCCCAGAGGCTGCCATCAGACTTCCACAAAGGTCCACAAAAGTCCCTCAGAATTGTGAGGGTGGGGAGACAGCTGTGTCCACCCTCCTGCCAGCATGGCATGGATACGGAGCCACCCTGGCATGCATGGCAGAAGGCCCAGCTTGCTGTCTGCTGATACATTTTGGATCTGTCATCATCAACAGGGACCATGAGATCCTCAAGGAAATAACTCTTCACAAAGCAATGTAAGGGTGATGAGCTCAGAAAGTCAGTGACAACTTGTGGAATCACCATACCTGAAAGCGTTCAATAAATGAGTGGACGTGGCACTTTGTGATGTGGACATGGTAGCATTAGGTCAAAGCTTGGATTTGACAGTCTGGGAGGTCTTTTCCAAACGTAAATGATCCTGTCTTGTTGCTTTTGAGCGAGAGGCTGATGGCGTGGGTGGCATGGTCCTTGCAGGGTACCACAGATGAGAGGGCTTGTGGCAATGTGCACATTGCCCATTGCACTCTTTGTTGTTTTTTTTTTCCAAACAGAGAGCAGGAGACAAAGGGCATTTCTCCTTCAAATCAAATACTTCAGAGAAAAGCATCATCCCTCCCATTTTGCAGCACCACAGGAAAAGAAGAGGTGAAGTGGGGTGAGCAGAAGTAATAGGTGTAGCTGGCAAGCAGTATAGTGTTTTGGGAAAATGTTTGGACACTGGGCAAATTGACATAGGAGAACAGGATTACTTTGGCACTGGGTAGCAGAGTGAAATGTTGGGAAGGTGAGAAACCAGTATGGGAAAGGGAGGAGACCTGTAGTACCAAATGAAGGAAAGCTTCCACATTAATTTTTGGAGAGGAATGAACTCCTTATATGCTTCTTTATATGCTAGGAACATGCAGAGAGAGATTAATCAAAAGACAGGACAAAGCTACTATTTAACTGCTTTTCTTTAAATTGTGTCACCTGGGAAGTCTATGACGATGCTGTGATGAAGTCTTAGTAATGATTCTGCTATACTGATTACTATTGCTACCACTGTGCTTTGCAGGCATGGAGAGCTACAGCCCAAATACTCTGTGGAAGTAAATAATAGTTGTATGTGGACACCTTTGTTGCAGTTGTTAAAGAGCAGACCTATTTCCTTCTCAAAATCCAGAAGTCTCAATATGTCGATATCAATTTAAAAGGTAATTATGTTTGGTTTCTTAAAATCTGCTTATTCTCTATTTGTCAGCGTATATTCTATACATGTTTATAGGAAATGTAAATTTTCTATGTGGGTAGCCATATAATGAAACATCTCTCTACTTAGGTAAATATTAACTGGACAGATGCTGCATTTGGAAGGTGCCTGCACATCTGTGTCTAAGAGAACATGCTCATTTAAGATGCTTTTGGAGTCTGTTTTTCCTGCAAAAATATCTTTTAAATGTGCTTAGGCTTTCCCATCTCCAAGCAGCAGAATGAATAAAGAAACAGTAAGGTATCATGAAGATATAAAAGGAGACAGTTTTATAACTGGGAGAGTATTCCTAATTGTACTTAACAATTTATGAAATCATAAATCACAGAATTGCAGGTGGTGAGATAAAGCTTTTGTAATGCTTGAGGGCCTCTTATTATTCTAAGACTGACTGATGCATATAAACGCATTATTATTTAAACAGAACAGTTCATTGTAGTTGAAATTAAGATTTTGGTTGTAAAAGTGACTTCTTACTAAGACTTCTCAATGTGAAATGCCTTGCAGTAAAGTGAAAAAGAAAAAAATATTACATGCAAATTATTTTTCCTAAGCCTATTAAACAAATTTAATCTCTGCATATAACTCTGCATTTACCAACCAATTGATTGGGCTTGAATCTGTAGCTATAGTGCAGAATCCAGTCTTTGGTGCTTATATGTTTTGCAAGTTGTAGATATATTTTTATTGATGATCTTTTAAAGTTGTTTCTAATTTCTCAACCATATGTATGTATTTCTCACTGCTGGGAATATTGGATAAATACTGGCAAACCAGTAGTGGTGCAAATCACTGGAAACTAATGGAAAAAATATTTCACCAGTGTCAGTGCAGAACTCAGCTGAGGTTACATTTTGTTTGGATTCTTCTTGTTCTTATTAGGGAGGATTCAATTGGAGATGATGCAGTTATGGATGGGCTACCAATGTCATGTCATGTGCAACAATACAACATCTTCACCTGCTCATGCTTGATGTTGTTTCCACTGAAATAAACACAAGTATTACTACCTGTTTTAGTACCCTTGAGAGCACAGTTCTGCTGGCTTGGGGTTGGGGTGGTTTTTTTGGCAAGGTAGTTCTTTTTTTGGAAAAGTGCATGCAGTGAATTAGTGTTTTGCTTGAATGTGAGAAATGAAAGTGTGAAAGTGAAGCTGTTCTAATTGATCGAGCTTTTGGGAACTTTCTTCTTTCTTACAAATTAATGAAATTGTCTAGATTAAATCAATTTAGATGGTGTGTGACTGTGAGATAATATGCTGGCCTTTCTATCTGAAAATCTCTCTGCTATTTGGATTGATGGCACCGGGCCAGTGTCTAATGGATGCATTTGTCTACATTACAGAAGAAGTTCCTGCAGTCTGGACTTTTGCTTCAGAGAGCCTGAAGATTTGGTGAATTTTTTTCACCCTAGATGAAAACTTTCCTGTTAGTGCTATGCCAAATATCTGTTGATATTCTGTGCAGAATTTTATTGTGTTTGTAATAATCAGATTGACATCCGTGTTTTCAGTGACTACTTGAATGAAATAAAGAATGAAGTTTTAGTGGTTCAGCATGATCTCTGCTTTTGAGCAGGGCTAAGGACATACTGAACATCATTTTCAGACCTTTCTTATGCTGGGCTTTACTGCAGAAAGCAAGCATGCTGCACATCACACACTGAAGAGCATGCAGTGGAATTGAAGTAATTTTCTGTCATGAATTTTCTGGTTCTATGCTCTCAGCCATGTACATCACCTCCCTCTTTGCTGATTTGCTAGCAGCTCCATGTAATCAGCTCATGCAGTATTTCATAAATCCCATTTTCAGGCATTTCCTGGCCTGTGCATTCTGTTCCACATCTGCACATCTGCTCCTTCTGTGGAGACATTCATTTGTTTTCTGCCAGGTTGCAAACTTCCCAGTCGTTCTTCTATTGTCTGAGTGCTTACCTGTCACATCTGCAATAGTCTCCTGACACCAGCACTCATTGCTGCTGTGGAGGACACGGCACTGGGCAAATACTGCCTGCCCAGCAGCTATTCCCTGTTTGTGTTTCACTTACACTCTCTGTACCACCCTGCTTTACCTTATGTAATGGCTTGTAAAGGAGACCACAAGGAGGTCAGAAGTACATATCGTCAGTAAAATGAGATTTCTTTTCCAATCACATCATGTTTTCCTCAACTATTTCTGTTCCACTGGAAGCATGAAATCCAGGTTTTCCTCTGTAAGTAAATATATGGATGTTCTGCCATACTGTATCTGCAAGTGCTAGCATATCATAAATTACTGAAAGCAGATAAAATACACTCAGATCTGATCAGTTAGAGTTTAGCCAGTTTCACTGCAGTCTACAGGCTGGCAGGAGCACAAGGATACTTTTTCTTGTGGTAGTGGAAGCTGAAGCAGGGAGATTAAAGATAAACTACTGGGTGTATGCTGTATTGCAACTGCAATGAATGCTGGGGTCTGCATGTGGTGTAAATAAACATAAAACTGGATTTTGCCCTAAAATACTGGGGGAAAAAAAATTGAGTGGTCTACCTGGTATAAATTGGTTCCCTCAGTCTTTCAGCTGAGTATTTGCAGAGAGGGAAGTCTGGAAACCAGAATCTGTGTGTGTTTCTGGGGAGAATTTAGGTGCTTAGCCTTGACCCTACTAAGAGATTTCTGAGTCATTTTCAGATCAGCTCTGACTGCATTGTTTGTTTTCTAATAATAAGATTTCATTGTTACTTATATCTTTGGATTAAGGACTATAATCTGTTGATCCCTAAAATGTCATCAGATAATCTGTTTAATCATAAGCAAAAGCTGATCTTGATAGTCCATATGAGTTACGCAAATTAAATCAGGCACATTACTACCATGCAAGTATAGAGGCTTTCAGCAGACCTTTCTTTC